GATATTAAAGGCGTGTTGTGGAGGAGTGGGAAAAAAGAACGAAGGGAGAGAAAGAGAGAGAGAGAGAGAGACTGAGAGATAGTGAGAGAGAATAGATTCTATGCAAAGGATTTAAGATGAACTTGACCTCAGACTCCTGCTCAACAGCCATGGGAATCGACCACCAGTGGAAGGATGCCTTCCACACCCTGAGGGGAAAAGACATGCATCCTAGAATTTCATACTCAGACAAACTTTCAGTAAGGTGCAAAGCTCAATGAGTAAATTTGCTGCTAGAAAACTTGACTGATTGCTTACGAAAGTGTCCACATTTTCCTTGGTTTAGATTCACACAGAATCTTTCAGAAGATTCTGAAAGATCTGCAGCCTCATCTAGTATGGTGTTTATCCCAAATTTACAGGTACCCTCCTGACATGCTTTTCCCTTCAAGTGGGTCCCATGTCTGTTTTCCTTTATGGTCAAACTTCTCGAAAACATAGTATACATCAGTGCTTCTAACTTTTTTGGACCTCTTTTTTTTTTTTTTGGACACAGTCTGGCACTGTCGCCCAGGCTGGAGTGCAATGGCAGGATCTTGGCTCACTGCAACCTCCACCTCCTGGGTTCAAGCAATTCTTCTGCCTCAGCCTCCAGAGTAGCTGGGACTACTGGCATGTGCCACCACACCCAGCTAATTTTTGTAATTTTAGTAGAGATGGTGTTTCACCAGGCTGGTTTGAACTCCTGACCTTGTGATCCGCCCCCCTCAGCCTCCCAAAGTGCTGGGATTACAGGTGTGAGCCCTGTACCTGGTGGATTGCTCTTAAGAATTGATAAAAATGACAGAACATCTTTTAGAAACGAAAAATGAATGTATGCATACGTATGTGAGATTTTCCAGTTAACCTGGAAGGTCCACAGGTACATGGGCCACCTGCTCTTTCTCTTCTCACACCCAGTTTTTACATGCACTGTCTTATTCCATTTTATTAACTACCTTCTTCTTATTTTTTCTTTTGTATTACAAAAGTAATATAATGCAGAAAAATAAAATCAAAGAGAAAGTCCCAATTTATCCCTGTCTTACTGGATTATTCTCCCTCAGGTGTTCTGATTTATCCTCCAGGTATTTTTAAATTATGTGTGTGTATCTGTGTGTGTGTGTGGTCGGCGGGAGCGGGGGGGCGGGTGTTCATGTATACATACAAAATAACTGCTTATAATCTATCTTGCAGTCACATAGTGTGTTTTGAATAAAACCCATATTTCGAATCACAATATAAATATCCTGTTACAGGTTGAGTATCCCTTATATGAAATGCTTGGGACCAGAAGTATTTCAGATTTTGAATTCTTTTGGATTTTGGAATATTGACATTATACTCAGTGGTTGAGCATTCCTAATCTGAAAATCCAAAATCCAAAATGCTCCAATGAGCATTTCTTTTGAGCATCATGTCAGCACTCAAAAAGTTTTGGATTGTGGAGCACTTTGGATTTTCAGATTTAGGATGCTCAATCAGTATTTGGCTCCTCATGTGATAAATTATGGACATCCTCCATGTTAACACATAGAGATTTTTTTTTCCCACTGATTTTGTCAGTTCCATTATATTCCTTAGAATGAGTCCTCTTTTATTAACTTCACGCCTTTTTGGTGGCTATTTAAGTTGTTTGAACTTTTTTTTTGCTTATACAAAGAGTGCTGCAATGAAATATACATAAATATATAGAGAAAGCAGTAGAAATATATACATATATATTTACATCACCAGCAATACGTTTGTAGAACAGATTCTTAGAAGTAGAATTGCTAGGTATGTATTTTAAATGTTCTGTGGTTGTTGCCAAGCTATTCTCCAACAACATTGTACAAATGTATACTTCCACCGACAGAGTTACTGGAAGGCCTCTTTCCTCATGCCTTCTCCAATGCTGGATGCTAGCAATATTTTAAAAATATTGAGGATGGGTCAGAAGTAGTACAGTAGTTCAAAGTTGCTTTAATCCTCATACATTTAACCCAACTTAATTCAACCAAAATGAATGCTAACTCTTACAGTAGACAGACTCCATGATCGAATGAGCTAACACGATCAGGTTGTGTTTTCTAGCTTACTCTGTCTAAAGCCCTGCCCTTGGACTCAGGGCAGCTGACGCAGGGAAGGGAGGGGCACAGGAGTCAACGTGCTCAGTCTGCCTCAGCTCTGCAGGGGTTCTTGTCACCTGATGCCTTGTCTCCTTCGCCAGACTGGTGGGTCTGTCCCCTGCCAGGGAAGTTGGGAAACCCTTGCTGTCACCAAAGTTTGTCTTTGTTTTGCAAAGTTTTGCAAAGTTTGGCAATGTTTGGCAAAGTTTTGCTTTGCCAGTGTTTTTATTGGTTTGTCTTTTTCTTTTACTAATTTGTAAAGGCTTTTGATGTATGATGGACCATAACCCTTAGTTTTGTCATGGGGGGCTTAAATATTTCCTCCCACTTTATTGTTTGTTTTAAAACTCTGTGTTCTCTTTCGCCCCACACACATGTTTCGGCTTTATGTGTTTCCAGGTAGCAATATTCTGAGAGCTTCTGGATTTTCATGTTTTGCTTGGGGGGGTTGTCCTGTGCCAAGGTTATGACATCTCCTTCCACATGTTTCTATTAAGTTGATAGTTTTTAAAGCGTATTGATATATTTAACCCAGCTGGCATCTGTTTTCATGTACATTGTGAGGGTGTGGGATTTTCGGGGCAGCTCTCTTCACCCTGCTGAATCCCTTGTCGCTAGGACACTGCTGGCCTCTGAGGGACTGGATCCCAGGGCTGTGTTTCCTGCTCCCCTTGCCTTGCCCTGTGACGCCGCTGGCTGTGATGCCCACTCCTTTCTCGCAGTTCCTTCCTGGGCTTCAACAGAGGCCTCCGACCCTGATTTCCATCCTTCTGCTGCAACTGCTCCTTCCAAGATCCTCCTTGGCGCCCCCCCGCCTCATTACCCTTCCTCCAGCCTAGCTGGAGAGCCCTCCCCAGGAGCCTCAGAGCTGGTTTCGTGCCTCTGTCTCCTGCCAGCCTCTGTGGTCTGTATGCCACTGGCTAGCCCCCTGCAGGTGCCCGCACACCTTCCCTCTCTGGACACCTGCCTCTTTCTCGTCCCCTCACCGACAGACCCTAGGCACTTCTGTCTTCCCCTCCCATCCCGACAGGTCCCCTCCACTCTGGCCGTATGGCTGACCCAGCCGATCCCTCCTCCCAGCCTAGACCTTGTTTCCAGTGAACTTCCAGCTTCCTCCTACTCAAGGACTCCTGCTCCAGACCATGGCGCTGCCTGCGCTTCCTGCAGCCTGACACCCCATAGCTCCATGGCTTTGCAGGGGCCACGTCTTCTGTGCAGAACTCTTCCTCCAGCTCCCTTTCTGGCAAATGCCTGTTTCCTTGCAGCCCGGTTTAATCTACACCCTCTGCAATATCCCCTGACCTGCCAAGTGACTGGGTCTTCCTCTCTGCCACTTCGCAATCCGGCAGAGCCTGCGCACGCCGAGCTTGGCCTGAGGCTCTGGTGTGCCAACTCACTGTCAGTTGTCGATGAGACCTTGAGCTCCCGGAGGTCAGAGCCCCAGTCCTCCCGCCCTCGGCTCCCAGTGCCTGGTGCCTCGCAGCGGCGGGGACCTGATGAGAATAAAGCTGTGAAACAGATGGTCTTGGAAGGCGAGGAGGGCAGGGGCTGTCCCTGTATAGGTCAGGTGGGCCTTGGCAGCAAGAGTAAGTAGCCAGCCACGCCAGGCACTGCTGCGGGAGCTCAGGCCTACTCTGCCCTGTCTGTCCATTCAGCTGCAGCGCCACAACAGGGAGGGTCCACGGCTGGGAGCCTGCCCAGCTTGATCAAAACTTCTTTTTAAAAGCACGCATTTGTTCTTCACATTCCAAAGCCTCACCCAGCCCTCCTAGAACTACCGTGCTGTGCACAAGGCCCCCAACACCCCTCAGAGGGAGTGATGACTGCGAAGATGTCTTGGAACTGGGATCTCCCGCGGGGTCAGGCGGGCCCTGCCTGTGCGGGCACACACACCACTGGATGCGTTTCCCTAAAGCCCCTGGAGTGAAAGTGATGCTGCCCTCCACTGCCTTCAGCAAGAGGCTTCGGTAGGAGGCTTTCCAGGCCCTGAGTGCGGAGTCATCCGGAGGGCTGGCTGCTGCGTCCAAGCACACACTCTGACCTGGCTGGAGCTCAGGTCCGGTCACAGGCTGGGTCACCTTGGCCTTTCGTCCTCTCAGCACGGAGTGACTGAGGAGGACCAGCTGCTTTTCAGCCTCAGAAGTTGGCTAGCAGTGGGGTGCAGACCCTGCCCCTGATAAGGAGAGTTTAGCTGTCCCTTCTCTGTCAGTCCATCTACGTTACATGCAGTCCTCTCCCCACCGGACTTCCTTTAAACCTGGGTTGGCAAAGCATCAACATGTAAGTCGCCACCACTTCCTTCCTCTTGGGCAGCCACCATGAACTCACCACAGGCTGCGTCTGAACATAGCCTCAGAATCCTTCTCAACACTGGAGGAGAACCACCGTGTGAAATGAGCGCTGCAGACCGTGCGTGCTGCTGGGGCGGTGATGAGACACCTCTGAAGGTGCCTGTTGTAGCTCGAGGGAAAACCCTGACCATGTCCACAGTGATCATCACAGATGGTTGGCAATGGGGTCAGGGGCGCCTTGGGGCTTCTAGTTCAACTCTCTTGTTTGGAGGATGGCATGGTTTGGATCTGTCTCTCCACCCAAATCCCTTTGCAATCCTCAATATAGAAGGTGGGACCTGGTAGGAGGGACTGGATCATGGGGATGCTTCTTGTGATAGTGAGTGCTCACGAGATCTGGTTGTTTAAAACTGTGTAACCCCTGCCCCCACCCTTGCTTCCTCCTGCTCGCTTGCCCCTCGCCTTCCGCCATGACTGAAAGCCTCCTGAGGCCTGCCCATGCTTCTGGTGCAGCCTGTGGAACTATGAACCAATTCAACCTCCCTTTATCAATTACCTAGTCTCGGGTATTTCCTTATAGCTGTGCGAGAATGAACTAATACAGAGGACGAGGACACAGAAGCACAGAGAAGGTGAGTGACGCCCCATCCGTGTCCAGCACAGCATTCCAAGGCATGCCTTGTGGGCCACTGGGCCCTGTGGAGTGGTGGGGACCACACGCGCAGCTTGAGGACACTGCATTCTGGGGCTCCCTCTGAGGGACTGTGTATGTGGTTGATGTTACAGGTTCTAACAAGCATGGCTGTGAGGAGCTGATTTTGCTCACAGCATGTGGTGCACTATGCGTGTGATCATACGCATTCCCCGTGTGGTCCTCCAGCCCCCAGGGAGAAGCCCACACTGGGGAGGCTGTGCCTGCTTCTACCTGAAAACACTGAGGCTGGCTCAGGTGTCCACAGTTGGTGATGCAAGCAGGAGCAGGGCCAGCTGTTCTCTTTATTTCCATCAGAACCAGAGTGGTAGAGTATCAGTCACTGGCTCCATCGCCCATGGGACTGACGATGCATTTCTGCTGTCAGAATCTCACACTCTTAGGACCAAGCTGAGCGAGATCAGGTTTCCAGGCATCCACATGTGGTTCCTATAATGAAGACAGACGATCTCCTTGAGTGGAAAGCAGTTTTCCATCACTGGCATCCCAGAAACAGTACCTGGGATCTATTAAAGCCTCAGTAGGTATTCACTGAAAAATTTAAAAATCAGTTAAATGCTTGTCTGTGCTAATAATGCCTCTTTGTCCAAGCACATTAACCCAAGCATGAGTCCTGCATGTATTGAGGTGTGTGTGAAAGTGCATTTGCACGCAGATATGTCACTACTGTCAAAACCAGGTAGCGTTGCTTTGACCAGGTTGCATGCACCAGGATGCAGCACAGAGAGCCCACGACCGTGCCGTGTCACTGCTGTGACAGGTTGGTGCTGCTGGAGACGTGGAATGAGCATAGAGGGGACTGAAGGTGAAACAGAGACTCAGGTCCTGATGATGTTGCTGCATACACACCACCCCCATGTAGACACTGGGAACAACCATCGTTTTATTGTATCACCTAATTGTGCGGATCAGGAATTTGAACAGTTGTTCCCTGCCCCACAGAGCTGATGGAGGTTACTTGTGATACCACATCTGGCACATGGGTTGTTCGGGGAAGTCCAAGACAGATTCACTCACATGCTGGGACCTTTATGGGGGTGGCCAAGAGGCTGAGCTTGGCAGGGGCCATTGACCAGAGAACCCACACGTGTCTCCATCTCAATTGTCTTGGGGTCTGTGGACTTTCTCCCAGAGGGAGAAGGTTGCAAGAGAGGAGGTAGAAGCTGCCAGGCTTCTGTGAGTGAGCCTCCAATGTGCGTCTCTCCTGGTACGTCCCCTGGAAAAGTCAATGGAACTAGCCCAGATTCATGGGACTGGGAACTGGCTCCACTTCTCCATGAGAGCAGGAGCAGAGGCTTTGCAGCCAACCTTCATCTGTACAGACTGACGGGCCCTGAGATGAGTGCAGTGTGCCGTGGAGAAGGGAGAACCAGCCCTTCCCGTGAGGAGGCAGGGCTGAGCCTATGTGCTTGCTTCTCTGCCACGCCCCTCCGCACTGCTCTGTGGCCTCTCTGCCAACTCCATGCCCCTTGAGGCTGGCCCTTAGCAACAGCATCTTCCTCTCCCTTGCTCTTCACCCCTGCCCCTAGGCCACGCCTGCTGCACTGCCCTTGTGCACACCTCCCTTCATGAGTCCCTCTTCTGTTAACCCTGTACCCGTGCCATCTGTTTTCCACATGGGCCTGACCCCAAAGGCATATTCAAAAAGAATTAATCATATTTTTACGATAACAAAATGATAAAAATTACATGATCAATTTGTAATAAAATGATACATGCTAAAAGTAACTTGGAAGATTTTCCTTCTTTGGAGTGTCTGAGGGGTTATCAAGGCCCTTCTGGAACTGACAATATGCAGAAGTGTTTGCTCCACCTTACGGATACCAGGCGCGGGAGAACCCCTAATCTCCAGCAGGAGATCACACGTCTGCCCTGCTGCCCAGGTAGCGTGAGGCACTCGGCTCGGCTTGTCTCCTCGGTGCATTGGGCACCCTCCATCCACCTTGGGAGGTGTGGCACAGGGTGTGGCCAGCGGGCGTGTTGGGCACTTTCCATCCACCTTGGGAGGCGTGGCATGGGGTGTGGCCTGCAGGCGGTAGCTTCTGCATCAGACAGTCCACGTGTGAGACGCGCTCCCCACCCCTCTCGAGATGCCTGCTATCTGCAGAAAGAGATTCCACTGGGCAGCCCCCAGAAGAGGAGACTTCAGCATACTGTTGGTGGTTAATAAATGCCAGCTCCCCTCTGTGATCCTGTTGCTTCAGGAGGGTGGGTGAGGGGGTCCGGGCTCACGGGGCTTGCCCTCATATTTTCTTGAAGAAAAACACAGAATTCTGAGTCCTATGTTGGGTGTGGGTGGTGAGGGTGGTGAGGCTGAGTGCATGCTGCATTTGGGGAGGGTTTGAGGTGCCCGGGTTCCTTCACGCCTGTATTCAGAAGGCAGCACTGATGCTTCTGATTTGATCCTCACCGCAGCCTGCCAGCAGGGTCATGTGGCTGTGAGCACCTCAAGTGTACAGTGAGGAAATGGAGACAGGGGTGTTATGTCTGGTACCCAGAGCCCTTGGCTGGCCCAGGAGAGACAAGGCCGATCTGGAACTCCAGTGAGCCCCGGGCCAGGCTGTGCCCACTGAGCTCCTCACTGAGACTCTGATGGGTGCAGAGATGAGGGATAGGGGAGGCAGGTTGGGGAGTGTCCTGGAATGTGGGGAAACCCAGGGGGTGGGAAGATGAACCAAGAAGGAAGGAATGAGCATTCTTCCTTGCAGCTCCTCCTGCCCCTCATATCTGCAAATGCCCCTCTGGGTTTCTGCTACTGCTGTGACCTTTACACTAGGATGTTCACATGAGCCCATCCCTGCCCCCCACCGCTCACTGAAGCTGGGCCATGCAAGGTGAAGGGCTGACTTGGACCTCCTTAGTCTGCAATCCTGAAGTGGGGTGCAGGGGCAGGGAAGGCAAGCCCCGGGGCCAGTGGGTCTAATTCAGAGGCATCACGGTGAAGGGAGGGAAGCTAAGGAGGAGGAAAAGTGGCTTCGTAGTGAGAACAGATGCAGAACCACTTCCTTCTAGGGGAAGCTCGGGCTTCCTTCTTGGAAATGAATAACTCGCTTGTATTGACTGGTTCTACTTGAGGGCACCTTCTCTGACAGTGCCCTGACCCAAGGCTGCATGGCCCAGGAGCCAGTGGACCTGGCTGGTCTTGCTGCCTCCATCCATGTCATCCCTATAAGTGTCTCTTCTCTTCAGGCCACGACATTGAAAGGCTTTAGTTCCTCTTCTTAGCAGTTTCTACTTCTCCAAGTATCTGACAAATGAAGGGCCATTGCTCACCCTGGAGGCGGCTCTCCCCTTGACACCACACCCCCAGGCAGCTCCATGTAGACCTCCACCGTGAAAATGCAGCAGAGAAGCTTTGGCCTCATGCTGTGTCATTCCCCTAACACCGGAAAAGACACCTGAGGTCACGTGAGGCTGGTGGGCAAGGAGTTTGTCTGCCCCGACCAGGCAACTCTGGCCTGCAACCCACATGGGACCGACCACTTCCTGAGAACAGGAGCTCCTCACGGCCATCCGCAGGGCTGTTGTCTCTCCCTGCGCCAAAAGACTGGGTCCCCGGCATGCCCCTAGGTCTCCCTGAGGTCCTTCTGGCCAAATCCAGACTCCCGTTGGCATCAGTGCTGTCACTTCACCATCTATGCCTCTTTCAAACCCTCTGTGCTCCTCAGCAGGGCGGGGTTGGAGGGGTGGGGACCGGGGCTGTGGGGTGCAGTCTCTTTCCTTCCTCTGCATTCTAGGCCCTCCATGCTCTTGAGGTGCTGGGCACAGGGAGGAGAAAGCTGGGTGACCTCCAGAGGGAGAGGGGAGCCCGTGAGTGCCATGTCGGGATGGGAGAAGCAAAGCCTCAAGGACAAGAAGCTGAAGGCGCAGTACTAGAATGCTTTGCAGACTTGCTCCTCTTGTACCAAGACATGTGTGGCCCCCAGACTCTTTCACATATTTGATAGACAACCCTGTCACATGTCCACTAGGGTTTTGGAAAAACCCTGTTGCTTATTCTTGAATGGAATCATCCAACAATGATGGGATATCACTTAGGAAGCATCATGTCTCAGCAAAGTCTTGTGCTCTGTAGAAGGACAATTTTGGGAGCATTAACGCTCTCTCTGCATTGTTTTCTTAACGCTTTCTGTAGTGTTTAGTGATGATATTTGAGAAGTGCATAGTTAATTTGAATTTGCAAGAAGAAAAACTTCTAAGAGGTAATACTTTTCTTCTTTAGCAAGAGGGGCCATGCTCTGCCCATGCACCAGGGGAGGGGCAGAAAGAAGAAAGCTGCGGAGCCTGCAGGAGGCTGGCTGATTTCTCACCAGCTGAGCCCTCCCCGGGCAGCTTTGTCCAGGCCTTCATGGCTGTGGAGAACAGATCCTGCATGCCTTTTGTCCTCTGCGAGCATCTGCCACTCCGGTATGGCCACCAAATGTTCTTCTCCGTGGTGCATGCCAGGGAGCTTTGCACACAGCATTCCATAGATAGCGGGGACTAGGGGACACACCCCAGGTGGACATGTGACAGGCAGAAGAGTAGTGCAGTGTGCTGTTCAGGGCGAGCATGCAAAGATCAGGCCACCTCTTGGGGAGACAGCCCATAGTGCAGAAAGAAGTCATCTTTCTTTCTGGCCATTCTCTTTTTCTCTACACACGAGCCCTGCAATAGGACTCAGTGGCTGCTGCCTTCATTCTGGGCTGGGCCACTCCTGCTCTCCAGGGTGGAACACTGAGATCTAAGGGCCTCTCCCTGTCATGATCCCTGTTTATCCCTCGTTGTGCTAAACACGATGTTTGTCATTACTAAAGGGCTCTTAAAATTGCATCTGCACGTCTGAATAGCCTGCTAATGCAGAGCTGCCCTTTGCATTTAACAGAGGAACCTGCTTCTGCCTGGCTCTTGGACAACGCTTCTTGCTGGACTCCTGCCAAGTGCAGCTGGGCTGGGCCTGGAGCGACCAATCCACTGATCCACCAATCCGGAGGGCAGCCCAGGAGGAGCGAGATCTTAGTGGAGGGACGCCCTGTCTGTCTGTGGAATGGCTTCTTCCTGGGGCAACCCCGAGAACAAGAGGGAAAACAGCCTGTCCTCCTCGCCTCCTGCCCTCCTGCAGGCAGCCACCTCCCCAGCTAATTGAAAACAAAAAGGGACGCCGTTGTGAAATTCAGCCCCCAGCACCATCATCATCTCCTGCGGGCTCAGGGAGCTCCTCACTGTGTTTATTTACAAATCAGCACATGCTGTTTTGGCCACGGCAGCAGACAGTGACCCCAGAGAGGCAGACCCGGAGCACTACACAAATTGCACAACACAACCGGGTCATCTGTCCCCTTTGCTGAAGATTCTTAAGAAAACAGAGGCAGCTGACTGTGCGAAGAGGCCATCTGGAAGCCACCCTCAGGGGCCGAGGGCTCGGGGCGTGTACGCCAGCCTTGGGGGTGCTATCCGGACACCAACAATGTCACTGCTGCTGCCAGCCTCAGTTTCTCCATCTGCCAAGGGCGCATGGTGGGGAGGGCGGGTGGGGGGTCAGCATGCAGTGATTAGCAGCCACCTGGGGTACTCTACCGGGCAGGCGTCTGTGCTGTGTCCTATAGTTTCAGCCTCACGTTCTCTCTCATTTTACAGATGAGAGAGCAGCTGGGTGGCTGCCGATTGTCGCCCTGCCCATGGCTGCCCTGGCCTGTAGCTGAGGGGCTGTGATGAAGGGCAACAGCGGCTGCTGTTCTGTGCGAGGCAGTTAAGCAAGGTGTCCGGTGGGCTGCACGGTGACTGGGTCAGCCAGGCACTCCCCTTTGTCTTCCTTCTGCTCACAGAGCTCGGGGGGCAGTTTCTGGGTGGAGGCTGCCGGAGCTGCTTCCTGCTCGGTGCTCCCACACCGTTCTTCAGCTGACCAAGGAGTGACAGCAGGACCCCAGGGATCTGCCCGTGTGCGGCAAAGCACACACTTTCAGTGCCGCAGCTGATGCTTGAGACATCCAGTGGGAGGTCATTGCTTGGACTAAGACACAAGTCCAAGCACAAACGTCCCCCTGAGGTGTCGCCGGGGGTGTTCGGAGTGGGGGATGGGAAGAGGAACAGTCCTCGGATGGGGTCCTTGAGAAGACTTTTGGAAGGATCTAAGAGGAACTGACCCCCTCCACTGCCCCCAGAGGGTGCACAAAGAAAACGGGCCCAAGAATCCCCAGAACTGGACTCTGACATCCACATTGTCTCCTTGCTGGTCACCAGCAATTGCTGTGGCTTACCCTCCTGGTGCTTCTGTGGGCCATCTGGGCACCTTGGGGAAGTCCCAGGGATTCCCATCAGCACCCCCTTCTCCCTGAATGTTCTATCCCACTGGCTCGCCCGGGCGGGGCTGGAGGGAAGAGCAGTGGCCTGGCGTTGTCAGGTCCAGCAGGGCTGATGGGAGTGGCTTCTGTGGGTGCCATGGCTCTCCTGTGTGGGTTTCCTGCCCTGGGCTCTGGGTGTGGGCCTTGATGGGCACAGGACTGTTCGTCTACCTCGTGGCACCTGGCCCTGTAGAGATGACAATTTCTGAAACAAGAGCATTTCCTCTGAATTCCAGGGAGCTTGGTTCAAGGGCCAACTTTGCCTTATGCAGGCTGGAGCCTGAATGTTTGCTCTGCTACCTGCTGTGTGACCTTGCAAAAAGTCCTTAAGTTCTCTGGGCCTTACTTTCTCTTTGGGATAATATTACAAAAGGCTGCTTGAGAAATGGGATGCTTTCAGAGATAACATAGAATGAAAGCACCGGGCACAGTAAAATTCAACTGCTATTAGTTCCTTTCTCCCTTATTGAAGAAGGAAGGCGGATGAAAGCAGCTTTCAGGAATGGCAGCTTGGAGAAGAGGAGAGGGAGTGGAGGCCTAGAAGAGGAGAGGCAGTAGGGGCTATGAGAATCCTCTGACATTGGCTGAGAGCCAGC